TTTTTTTTTTTTTTTTTTTTTAAGAGCTTTAAGATACTGTGGCTTATATTCTGACACTTTCTTCCCTTCACTGCAGCGACCTGGCTGGCCTTTGGCAATGAAATTCAATGCACATGGCTCCGCAGTCAAATCATCAAATTTCCCTGTGTGTATATTAGAGTTTTGTAATGTGTTTCCATTAGGAAACAATGCGGAGATAATTGTCTTTGGTAGCAATTAGCTAACAGGTTTGTTCAGTGCTATTGGCAGAGGCATCCATCATCCCCTTCCCTGACCACACTTTTGTCTAGTGAGGACTGTGGAGATCAATAGAATTCTATAGAGGGGAAATCACCTCGGCTTTAATGAGCTGCAAGTCTCAGTCAGTCTTGGTTTGTATTTTTAATTTTTCCTTTTAAAATTAGAAATCAAGTGAAAAATTCTATTCCTTTGGGAGGGGAGAGTACTATATATTCACTGGTACTTTCAGCTGATCAATGCTAAGTTTAAATTGTTTTTACTTCTACATAAAGGTATGGCTAACAGCATGGGGCATATAAGCAATGTGAGTTCTGTAACATATACTCTAATAAGGATTACATCCACTTGTAAGGACTATTGCTGAGTTTCTGATGGGATAATTCTTGCAGTATGATGCATACTTTCTGCTCGTAGTACTCTCAAGATTTAAAAGGAAACCTGAATGGCATTCATGATAGTAGATGGTTTTATTGTACTGATTTTGTTATTGGCCCTGATTAAATAATGTTTTAATGTCCTTTAGACTACTGTTTTGTTGTACTATCGCTTCATCTCACAGCAAAGCTAACATACTGATAGGTTAGGTATTGCTTAGATTTCAGCTATACAGGCAAAGATAAGTGGCTTGGCCATGCTCCTATGATTATTACCGTATAAAGATGGCTCTAGAAAGAACCTCAACTCTGTTCACATGAATTATCTTTCCTACACAGTGTATGGAAGTTTGTCCACATTGTACCATTTTCTTTTTGTCACCATTCGGGCTGTTTTGTAGAATATCTAGCATTTCTGTGGTTGTCTGTGGCCCCAGAATACCCCAGTGAGGCTGCTGGAGCACCTGCAGCTGGTGCGCAGGTCAGGAAGCTGAGACTCTTGTCAATTCAGTAGCTGCTGGTGGGGGGCATGGCACAGGCTGGCTGTGCTGGTGCTCAGACTCAGCTTCGAGCTCCTCCTCAGCAAACTACTTCACTGGATGGCAGGGAATGAAGCGGCACTTAGAGTAACTGTTGGGGAAAATGCTGTCGGAACAGAACTGCAGGTTTACCTGTCACATCCGGACCTGCGCAGAAGCTGCAGGTGAAGCTCTCTTTACGGTTGCGCCATCCATCTGCGTAACTGAGCCCTGCCCCACTCAGCAGAGCTCGGTTTAGGATATACCAGCAGCCTTTCGACTCATAATGGGTAATATTGGGGAGACCGCACTGGGGTCTGTTCTTAAAAGTAAGTCTTTATGTTTCCAACAAATCCTTTAAGTTTCAAAGTCACTGTTATTCTATTTTAGATTGCAGTTTCTAATTGCACCAAAGAAGAGAATTGGAAAGCGATGACCAGTTACAGATTACACTACCGAATTCCATTGTATAATCTACCTCTGAGGTCTCACCTTCCCATTTGAACTTTTATATTAATTTGATAGATTTTATCTTGTTTTTGTTGTTTTTGCTCAGCACTCCCCATTGTTAACATAGGTCCTGTTTTCTTTCGAGCCTCAAATGTTAAAATGTGTGAGTGAGTGAGTTTTACACCCAAAACTCTGCTTTTCTACTTGGAGTTATACTACACAGAAATTGTTTAATGAAGGCTTTCCTAAGTAGAATAGCTGAGATTATTGAAATTAACTTACCAATCTCTTTCTTCCTTTCCTTTCCTTCCTTCTTTCCTTCTTTCTAATTCTAATCATACTTATTTATAGGCTACAATATAATTTGATGCATGATCAAATCTAGATAGACTTTCCATTTCCTTAGTTTTAAAAATGATTGATGTGTAATAAGTGTACACATTTATGTGATACTGTGAGATATTTCAATACATGTATGCAGTATGTACTGATCAAATTGGATAATTACCATTTGGGTGTCCTTGTCATAACTTTCTGTTTGGAGCTTTCAAGCCCTTCGCTTCTCATTATTCATAAAACATGTGATAGTTTTTTTGTTGTTGTTTTTGTTTTTTACCTCTGGTTATTCCACTGTGCTTTAGAGCACACACTAGAGCACTCAATTTACTGCTTCTGTATTTTCATACTCGGTCAGCTTTTCACCACTGTGACAAAATATCTTACATAAACAGTTTAACAGAACACCTCTTGGCTCATGGTTTCAGGGCCTTTAGTCCATGGTTTAGTCCAGGGCAGAAACATCATGGCAGAAGGGCATGGCAGAGGAAAGCTGCTCACCTCATGGCAGTCAAGAAGCAGAGAGGGAGGGAAAGAGCCAATGAAGAGGGGGCAGGGGACCAGATACAGTCCCCAAGATCCTGCCTTCACAATCCACTGCCTTCAAGGGAGCCCCACCTCCTACGATTCTGTTACTTCCCCAGATGCCATCATATCATTAATTTCATCAGTGGACTAATGAACTGATAGATTTAGAGCCCTCGTGAGTCAGTCACTTCCCAAACCCCATCAGCTTTCTGGCTTTTGAGGAGGCAGGGCTTTTTTTGTTTTGTTTTACTTAGAGTTAGCATGTTGCTTTATAGCTCAGGCTGGCTTCTTTCTTTAGCCTCCCACTCCAGCTCTTTGGGGGACTTTAGACCTAAATCATATAGTAACCTGTAACCATAACAG